ATCATCATGGTTTTATCATCTATTGGCTTTTTCTTTGTAGAAGTACACAATTTACTTCTGAACCTTGTGGGAAAAGTGACTTTCTGGGATATTGTGTGAATTTCTATACTGGAACAAATGTTTCAGATGTTATGGTATCTGAATCAGTAGCGGGCAGCCTTATGCCATTGCCAGTCAGTACTGAACAGAGCTCTATGAAGAACAGCGATGCCAGGGAAGTGTATGGAATACTTAATGAGAAAACAATAGAATACTTTAAAAGAAGCTGGAATTGGTTTGGTTTGTTCATTGTTTTAGAATCACCTATTCCTTCTTTTCTTCTATTCCATATTTAGTCACCGTTAAAAGGTGGCTTGATCTGTGCTGTGAAGTCTGCATGTTTTACTTTAGAGACTCTTTTGTGAGTGCATGCATCTTGTTTATAAGATTTTGAAATTTAAGGCATCTTTTGATGAATTCCCCTCTATCATGCTTAGTTTGTATATTGTAGGCAACCGTCATTTTTATACTGCTTGGCATCACTAGTCCTGGGTACTTATTAGTAGGGCCAGGGCTCCTTTAGACAGTGCAGATCGCTAAAAACTCTTAAATAGCAGACTCTTACATTTACTTGTCATGTTGAAAAATATTAATCCTCAGTCCATGTGTAAGTCCAGGACTGGTGAGTGACTTAAAGTTCAATATCCTCCAAAAACCTATATATGATATAATGTTTTTATACCACAGGAGAGCTGTTAATCCTTTCTTCTCAAATGTATGAAATATCTATTTGTAGCTGTCATGAGTGGGAAATATCAGGGCTTAAAATATGTCATTGGTTTACAGGAAGACTTTCAATTTAAGCACTGTTTTTTTTCCATATAGAGTCTACACAGTTGGATCTTGGTTAACCTGCTCTTCCAGCTAGGAGGGAGGGGTGAAAATCTTTTTCAGCTGACCAACTCTAAAATTTGAAGTGGATGTGTGAAGCTATAATGATACGGAATAAAAACTTCATTACTTATGAATGTCTCACAAAAATGTTTCTAGAATTCTTTTATTCTCTCTAAATAATATAAAATGTGAATATAATATTTGTAAACTTAGTTTTGTTCTGTGTGTTTGGGGTTTGGTTTTTTTTTTTTTTTTTTTCTTTTTTT